ATTTCGTTCATCATTTTGGCTCAGAGAAAAACGTTGCTATATTGGATATTATAATGATGACGAAAATGGACAAACATTTTTGTATACAATACCTCGATTTCGATTCCAAAATATTATTTATCCTTCATCTAATTTTCCACCGATAACAACAGTACCATCGAATATAGAAAAATATTTATTTTATGAAAATAAAATTGATTCTTTATTAATTGACATTGATAGATTTATAATACCACCGATTCATCGTTTTACACAAGTCAAATCATTAATACTTCGTGGTTCAACACTTATGTCATTAGATGTTCTTAAAACAATAATGGATTTAAATCAAATCGAAACACTTGATGTTTTTCCTGTTGAATCATTATCAAGACATGAACTTAACATATTAATAAAACATTGTCCTCGATTAAATTATCTTATTATGGATTATAATCCATTATTTGGCATACCACCACAAATTCATACTCTTAGGTTAGATATTGATTTTCGATCGTTATCTATTGATAATCTTTGGCATACAACACAAAATGTTAAAGTTCTTGAAATTCCAATTAATTCAAAAGATATGATGCTTGATATTATAGATCAATTTGATCATATTGACAATTTTCTATTCTCATGTGATGAGTTTTCAGAAGGTGACTATTTGGAATTCTTCATTGAAAAGTTACATCTTTATTGGTTAGAAGATAATTCGTATCGTCTTGCAATGAATCATTTTACATATCGACAAGGAGAAGAAGATCAGCAAATTCGAATGTCGACTGGTGGTCCAAAGACTAAAAAATATTCAGATATTACACATTGGTTAACTAAATAACTGAAATTAATATATTTAAGAATGCATTTTGTATTAGGCTAACATAAACATTGTTTATTAATAAAATATAAGTTGATTTCGTTTCGATTATGAATATTTTGATTATTTTTGTTAGATCAAACATTAATGTAGACTTTTACTTAAGTTCATTGAAAAAGCTATAATCTATACATATATCGATTTTCTTATTTAAAATGGGGATTTATAAAGGTATTTTCTAAATGATAGGCTATGGATGTTCGTGTGAGCAATATAATTTTTATCTTACTCACATACAGACGTCTCAAACTGATCACTAAGTGTGTAGCTTGCTTGAACTTGTACATGATAAATTGTGATAAGTATCGATTAAATAAACGATGCCTTTTTTTTTACATCGAATTGTTTTGTACTTTGTTGCAAAAATTTTTAAAAAAGAGTCAAGTTCGTTGATTATAAAAAGTTTATCTTTACAAATAGACTATTAAGAGAGCAGATACAATTCAATACTATGTCATTTGAAAAACTAATGACATAAATTCATATTAGAAAAATTTGTTTAAGGATTTTTATCAGTCTGCATGTCAAGTAGTTTTACTGCATCTCGAGGCTTCTAAAAAAAATCTTATGAATTATTACACAAAATGTTCGTTGACAGACATTTTTAAAGATAAGTACCAGCTTAATAATCTTCGGTGCTTATATCATGCTTTGTAGAGAAGCAAATGATTCGTTTTTCATTTAACTCAAAAATTTATATATTCAACATACTTAAGTGATTTGATTATATGTAAGCGTAGAAGCAAAAAAAACTAGATGAGAGAATGTTAAGCAGCTAGATCAATAGTAGACCTTTAATTTAACATATTTTGTTTTAGTGAATGAAGAAGAGTTTTTTGTTTTTGTTTTAATGCTTTCTTCGTCATCTTTATATCTGCTTTTAATATGCACAATCGAGCTGAAATTACTAAGAGAATATAGATCCCAATGATAATTTATATATATTTCATAATGCCAAAAGATTTTTCTGAATTGAAGTTTTCTTGTCTGAGGGGAAAGTCAGTTTGGAATGTGAGTGTGGATGTGGGCAGTGCTTTATCTAGCGTGAGAGGAGAGAGGACCGCGCCCTTCTCGAGTTCATTTTTGCTCCCCTTCCTCTCAAAAAGGTCGAAATACTTTTCAGAGAAGAAGATCAGTATATTTTTGCTACAACTTTTCGTTCAATATACAAATTTGGAGGGAATGTTAGTGAATACGATATTGTCAAAAATGAACAATATCATATGGTGTACTAAAAAAATGTCAAACAAAATATTAAAATCAAAAAAATATCGAAAAAAGTAATATCTTTCATAAATGATGACTCTCAATAATTATAGTTTCTTGTTGTTTTTCTTATAATTTTACTAGTCCAGATTTTTAACCAGTTGTAATGGTGATGAGCCATACCTAATATAGATTAACTAAAAGAGCTTGACAAAGAACTGCTATACGACTGAAAACCTACTGTCATGACTGCAACTGCTCCAGTTTCACTAGGGTTAACTCAATCATAATTCACCATATGCGCATCTAATTTAATGCAGACTTAGGAGGAAGACGGAAGGATGCCAAAACAATTGCAAGTTAACTTTATGTAGACTATTATTGCGCTGCTATAAATGCTATGGAATACGTATATGATTTATCATTTATGGTTGCTAAATAAAAAACCTCAAACTAATTTTTTCCTTGTTTATCTTTTTATTTATTTTTGATCTTCATTAGAAAATCAGTATTATCCAACACCATGATACATTCCTCTTTCCAGTCAGAATTCTTTTATGACAATTCTGAACCATTGTCCACATCGATATTTTTTTCGATTTCTATACGATCAAACACTCATTATGTTCAATGCAACCTAACGATAATGTTTTAGTAATCTGAATCAGCATCGAACGTTCTCAATGTACATCATTGTTTCAAAATTTTTCAATGGTATATCAGTTTTCTGTTTCAATGTTCAGATTAACAGTTAGCTGCATCGGAGCACTTTTGAGGGTGTGGGTGTAGGTGTGAGTGTCACGAGAACACTGATATCTATAACTGCACTTGTACCCACACACAGGCCTACATCCCACACCTCAGAAGAGCCATTAACACTCGATAGGACGGTGTGGGTGTAGGTGTGAATGTAAGGGAGGAAGAGACAGTCACACCCACATCTACACCCTAAGGATGTCGCGAAAAAACACTCATACAGAGCAAATACTTGAATAGTGGAATACTTGAATTCAATTTTCAACTCTGACACTACTAAAACAGTTGAGACACAAGTGCTTGTAGACATGAGAAAGATCATATTTTTTATCATTTCTAAATTGCGCAGCAATTGTGGCCACACTACGAACTCGATTTGATGCATAATTACGTTTTCAATCATCGTAAATATTCTCAATCAGCCGCAATTATCACAGTTGCGAAGCAGTCGCTAAAACGATGTCAGATTGGTTTCTTTCTCTTTCTGTTTGTAGCACACATGTTCTCACGATGCGTTTATTTCTCTATGTGTAATTATTGTTTCTGCTTGTGAGTATGGGAGAGCCACACAGCGACTGTGCAAAATCAACAGCAACAAGAAATAAAGATGAATTTAGACTGTTCTGATGTTGTGGCTGTCTGGCATTCATTTCTTTCGTTTCTTGGAGACTGTAGGAGAAAGAAATTGTATGTCCCTCTTACATATTTTTTTTCAATGCTTTTTGCTTGTGATGGATAGAACGCAAAAGTGAAAAAAGTACGCATTTTTTCTCTTTTTCTCTCGAGGTTGCACAACGTTGTGTCTTGCCAGTGCGTCAGACACAATGTCTGATCAAATTGATTCGGCTCTACCATCAACGGCTCAACAAGAGAACACCGACAATGACGTTGAACCATCTGCCAAAGACGATCTTCTTGTGAAGAAAAATGTCCGACAAAACATCCACTATTCACTGACTACAAATAAACTGATAAAGGTCTTTTTCTATCTCTTTTCGGACTGTCTTGTTGCACGTATACTCGCTTGCACTTTCATCTGTCAAGCAGCTGTTATGTGGTTAGGTACAGCATTGAATTTCATTCTTCAACTTCTCTTCCTTCCATTCTCATTTACGGCATCATCAAAATTGGACGCACCAACTTCATCCAATATTTTTACATTTTTAGTTAGCTATTCGATGATACCGGGCATTGTTGCCTTTTCTGCACATTACTTTTGGTTTCTTCTACAAATTGGTTGCCATTGCTTTACTAAGACGCTACGTAAGTCAATTTTTATTTTATTGTAATTATTTGTTGAAATTGAAGATTTTCTTTTATGTATTATTTTTAGGCAACATAAAAAGTGATCATCGAACAAATGCTCTTCTTTTCTTCATCGACAATGAAATTCACTGTTTTCATGTTAACGTCAAACAGCTCTGTCGCCTTTATGTCACTCTCTCATCATTGGCCTACATCGGCTTTTATGCTAGTAAAGATCTGCTCAATTGTTTGATTGTTCCCTCTGGTCAAGTGCCTCTTACACTCATGTGGGGTTTGCATTGTAAGTATTCTATAGAACAACAACGACAATTTTTCGTGTAATCACTATTTTTGTACGTTTCGTAGTATTTCATCTACTCGGTTTGGCATTGCACGTTGGTTTGACAGTATGCTCGAATTGGACAAAGACCAGTGAAGCAATGAAAGGTTTGAGATTTCGGCCACCATCGAATTTATCTCTAATCACAACTATCTTCGTACTCATACTCATTCCGATTGCACTGCAGATTGTTTCTATTTTCATCCATGCCTTCATTGGTACATTGGTTTTTGTGATTTGGATCTTTCTATTTCATCAAGTATGGGCGCCACCCTCGTCGGAAGATCTTCAAACCCAAGATGCAGATGAACCGCCACTTGCCAATGAAGATACGGGTGATAGAACGATCGCAGGTAAGAAATTGAATATTTACTTTGGTTCGTCAAAGTTTCAATTTAATTGCAACAGAACACGACCCTACTCCTCTGTACATCAACGATTTTAAGCCTGTCTATTTTGCAAACCTTTGTTCTCTGTGCTTCAAAGGTCCACTCGATCGATATTATGAGTAAGTATCATCATTCTATATATGTGATGAAATATATTTTTATATTACAATTAGAAACTTTTCAGTCAGATAAAGCATTAAAACCGCCAGTCAATCGATTATCTTTGATCAAATTTCTCAAAAAAAAATTTTTTTTTTTCTAAAAGTAACTGCAATCGTAAAATTGCAAAGATCTCAAAATTAAGTTGCCAAAGGTTATTTGTTGAGTTGAAAGCTAAAAAATAGTGTTCGTACCGTCAAGTAGTTGCTCAAGATTTCTTTTTAATGCTGCATAGTTCTCACATCATGATTCGTTTGACTCGTGTGTTTACCTACAAAGTATTCATCCTCGTTCTTCAATCCGTCATGCTCACGTCACTCGTGTTTGTTCTTCGTCAATCATTTAGCAATCTCTCAACTACAGAACGATTGCTAAAAATTGGTCTCATAGTCCTTCTAACTTGTTTCGAATTGATCCTTCTTCTACCACCATTCATCGCTCGATTCAACATTTTACGTATGCAAGTGAATTTCATTGAATTATTACTCATCTTCGTCTTTGTTCTGTTGACTATGGGCATTGCAGTATTAATTAAAAGTAACGTCGGTAATAAACTAATCGTGGTCCTATGCATTATTCCTCCGCTTATCTATTCTATTCTTCTAATAATCTTCCATGGCTATCATGTCGTTCGTGATTCGTGGTATTTTATACATAAACGTCATCGGCATGATTGCACATCCAATTTATTGGTACCCGGTCTGACCGAATGGATTGAATGTCATCATTCGATTTCACTCTATGTCAATACATACTACTTGATTTTTCTCATACTTGCTCTACTTGCCTTTGGTGGTATCACTCTAGCAGCATCAATATTCTATTTCAACAATAAACCGTCACAAGAAGTATTGCAAGACAGACTACACCTGTTCGGCAACGATACCTTAATTATTGATCCAGATCATGATCGAATGGCAGCATGTAATTGGCAATTTGAAGAATTCACTATTGAAGATATGATTCTTTTGGCAGCGTTAGCATATCAGCCTACAGAAGAATTACAAACTGAAATTGATCATTTCTATCTGTCGAAAGCGAACAGATCACGAATGATGCGTATTGACACTAAGCACAGTCAATTCCAATCCCATGGGTACGGAAATGTAACATATTTTACGCTTGTTACACCACATACGATCATTGTCAGCATTCGAGGTATATATTGTTCACTTTGCTTGATTGATTAATCCTAGGTCAAATTTTTCCATTTGTGTGAATCTGCGACGTTGTGATGTTCCATCACGATTTTCATTCTTCTATTAATGCATAACAACAAATTGGTTACACTTAAACAAAGTTTTCATAAAGTTTTGTATGAATTAGAATTGCAAAAAAAACTCACATCCAAGAAGTAGTACTGACGGATAAAATGAGAATTTGCATCATATACTCAGCATTATCTTGGTTCTTTCTAGTTGATTTTAATTTGAAAATCAGCTTTTTTTCATCATGTTTTCTCAAGATGACGTTATTTTATGCGGTAGATAAACGTCACATTGTTGATGACACTTGATTCTGATTCTGAGTGATGTCACAAAATGTTTTTTTTTCCATCTTAAGGAGAAAAATCTAAGAATAACCCAAAGTTTTCTATTACAAGTTTGACATGCAGTACAATTTTTTTTTAAATTTAATTTTCTTCTTGTCAATTTGTTTTTGCCTCTCTTCTTAGGTACTAAATTGTTGTATGAGTGGTTAGTCGATTTCGATACATGGACTGAATCATTCTTATATCAAATTTTATCTATTCTCTTTCCTTGGTCAAAACTCTTTCCCGAATATATGACGGTACGTATAATCAAGCATTTATCCATTTTGGAACGCTTAGTCAACGTCAATCTGAAAAAACCGTACAAGAACCGGTTTTATATACAACAAATCATACCAAAACTGAAAAAAATTCGTCAATTATACCACGACAGACGCTCATTCATTCTTGTCGGCCACTCGTAAGTCAAGCGTCAGGAAGAAATTGATTCCTCTAATTTCCTATCTATTAGACTCGGTGGTGGTCTAGCGAAGCTAGCTGGTGCAGCAATGCTAAATGAAACATCGATGGTGGTTTCAGTCAGCGGCCCGGGCATCACTTACAGTCATGCAAAAATGGATGAAACGAAAAATATCGAAATGGCTGATATTCATAAGAAAATCTTCAATATTTATCACGATCGAGACGTAGTAGCATGGGGTGACAAGCAAGAAGGTCTTCAACAAGCAATCACCTGTCCGTCGCAATATAATTTTCTTCAATGCCATTATATCAATCCGTTCTTGTGCACTGTTCTACGACAGTGTGGCAATACGAAAGGATTCAAACTCAATGCAGCCATTTGCAAACCTTAGGTGTAGACTAAAGAAAATTGTGTCACATATATGTGTTGCAACCCGTATTGTATCATAGCTTATTCAATTAGCACATATTTGCCGTTTTGTTCTACGCAAGTAGTTAACTTGCATATAAAGCGACATAGTCAAATGATTGGAGCTATGGATCTTCGATTTGTTTCTCTAGATTACTTGATTGGTTACTGCTCGAGAATACAGCGAGAAATCGAGATGTCAAGTATCAAGATCCAGCCGTCTTGTGCTGGAAGAATGGGAGAAAGTAAAAGTGAGACTATGGGTGGAATGGGAATCAAGTAATCCTTATAGAATCAGATTCATCCATCCCATGCACCCATATCGTTTTATCTCATCTTCACGATTGGGCAATATCTGATTGGGTGAGTGTGAACGTGGAGTGCAGGTGTGGGTGGATGTGAGTGTTAGTGTGGGTGGTACGGGTGCGGATGTGGGTGTCGATTTGGAGTTGATTTTGATGAGGAGACGACCCATAACTACTCGCGATACCCTCCCGTACCCAACACGTGCATCCGTGCGTGCGCACCCATAGCCCACAAGCATGTACTAAAATTCATTGCCCACACTTTTAGGCACATATTAATTCACGACGCATTTCTCACAACGAAAGCAACAGCTACATGCAAGTGAACACTAGCACTAACACCCATACCCTACTCCCATCCCCACCTACACCCACATACCTCCCCAATACCCACACCGACATACCTCCCTACATCCACACCCACCAACCCACATCCACATCCACACCGACATCAACACCCACACCCCACACTCACACCCTTAAATGGATAGGTGCACCGGAGTTTTTTTTTGAAAAATCAGATGACATACCAAATGAATTTTTAGCAACAATAATCCTTGAGAAAACTGTTGATTATGGTTGATCAATTTGATTACAAGCAATTATTCGAAATTCATATTCATCTCCTTCAATAAGTACTTCAACATTAATTTAATTTGTATCTGATGTAATGATTTGTTGTATTACTTTTGATCAACGCAAACTTCCTTGTAAACGACGTTCAACAAAATAACTTATTCATAGTATTCGATTATCACTAAATGATGATGTCCATTGTAGATAACATAATGTTGAAAATATTTCATCAACTTATGCAGCTTCTGATGTAGATGAACGATCTAGAAATTAAATTTTAGAATTTCTTTCTTAATCAACATAGAAAATTAAACAATAAAAAGAATTTAGTTAAATTATTTTGAAGTTTTCTTTTGTTGTGTGTGTGAGTATAAGATATCGGAAATTTTCAAGACTAGATAAGTTAAGTCAGTTTTTATATGTAAATCAAAGTTTAAACGCTGAATTTCACTTTCAAAACTCGAGTTCCGAACGAAGATTTTAATTATTAAAAGGAATTTAAATTTTCTTAAATATTGTTTTCTCATGTTCAAGAAAATGTTTCAAGTAAACAAGAATTTCTCAAAACGCATTTAGACGTCCTAATTGCAGTTGCTCTTTGAGTGTTTTCATGCCCAGAAAACATGCAAACATTTTTTTTTCAGAAATACTTTGACGGGTTTTGCAGATAAAAATGACTTGTTTTTATGGATGATGCATATCGAATATATTGCGAGAAAATCTTTTGAACGTTTTCTAGATGTAAAAGTTGCCTTTTTAACCATCTTCACCCGTCGTTTAAATTGAAAGGAGAGCTGCAATTAGGATGTTTAATCGTGTTTTCAAAAATTCTTGTCTGCTTGGATGACTATCGTTCGGTGACACGGTTTATCTTGTATCTTTTTGTTGTTTATTGATAAATCTCAAAAACAAAAAAAAAATTAAATTTTTCTAAAATAATGTGTTATCAAATGAACTCTGAACAAGTATTGGTTCAATAGTTTTACATGATTCTGATTAACAATATTTATTTTCTGTACAAACACAAAAAACAATATTTATCATTATGAATTAATTTATTGATTGATGCA